GGCCTATCTTTCAAGGTCCATCTCACAGACCAAGTCTTTCTCAGAGTGTTTCTTGAATTCTCCTAAGTGAGTGTTTTCTCTCCTGCGTCTAATCCCCATTAACATTTTATCTGTATCCCTTTATACATTTAGTAGGTATCATATTATCTATAAATATTTATAGTCTTTTGCAAACGTGTCGTATTTGCCTTCCTAAAATATAAGTTCCTTGAGAGTAGAAACTTGGTATACTGATCCTTATATCTCCTCTACCACTCAGTACACAGTCCGCACCCAATAGGCACTCAAAAATTGTCTGCTCGGCATCCCACGTACAGCAACTGGAAGGATGTGCAACTGTGACATACAACTGTCTACTGGGGCTTGGGGGAGAAAAAGGGGAAAAAAAGGAGGAGGATTGGCAATAGATGTTAGATCAAAGCTGGTCTTCCTCAGCAAAAAGAGGATTGGCATGGATGTTAGCTCAGGGCTGATCTTCCTCACAAAAAAAAAAAAAAATTGCTGAATTGGGCTGTCTCAAACCAGAGTAGGGGAATCACTGGTGCAAACGTGCTAATTACCCACGGCTGGTTTTAAAGGTGTTTCTGATTATTAGTTAGCAATTCAGATTCCCTTTAGGAAACATGGCCTTTTTGTTAATGATCACTTTAACTACCACACATCTCTGTAATGACTACTTGCCCTTAAAATGAGCCAATAACTAGATGTTTATAGAGAGCAATCATGTGAAAGACCTGTGAATAGAATATACAAAATGTTCAGAGACCCAATAGCATGGGTGTTGAATTGTTCTAGAAATCCTAGTTCATACACCTCATTATCATCTTCATCTTCTGAGCTACCAAGAAATAGCCTGCTGTATGCCAGAAACTAGGTCATTTCATATGTTTTTTAATCCTTAAAGTGGGTGGAAATATCTTTAATCTACTGTTGAAGAAATGGAGGCCCAGAGAGTTTAGGTAATTTACCCAGAGATCACTCACAGTCTACTTAAACTTCATATCTTGCTTATCTCTAAGCTCTTTGGAGTCCATCTCAGCAGTATGTCTCAAGGCCAAACCATCTCCTGTCATTACTTTAGTCTCTCTGTCATCATTTGGCACCTCTTTAGGTCTCGTCTGGATCATCACAGTGGCCTCCTCATGGTCTCCCTGCCTATAGTTTCTCCTGCTTCCAATATATCTTCCACAGTATCACTCAGAGACATAGTCATGTCATTCTCCTTCAAAACTTTTGTTGGATCCCTATTGCCTACAAAATGTCCTCAACTCCTAAGCATGGCATTCAAGGCTTTCCCTAATCTAGACTTGCCCTGCCTTTCTAGTCCTATTTCAAATCAGTCACTCCCAGATTGTGTCTTCCATTGGAATTACCTACTCATTATTATCCCCAACATACTCAGTACTTTGCTTCAAAGCCCATCCTCATTGCCACCTTCTCTAATGTCCCCAATAGGAATCTCTTACTCTGGTTCTCTCGTGGCACTTCGATTATATGTTACACTTGGTTCTCACTATACCATGCTGTCTCACTATACCATGCTGTCTATCATTGTTACAAATATACAGGTCCGTCTCCCCTTTTAGACAAGGAGCACATTGAAGGCAAGGAATATCACGACTTATTGTGCCTAGCACATAATAGGTTCATAAGGAAAGATTATTAAATTGACTCAGATTAAATTGAAATGAGCTTGAATTTTGGGTGAATAAGCCATTGGAAGCCATACCCCACTCGAGGAATAGTTACAGTTGCTGCCTAAAGTGACACTGATTATAAATTCTTTAATCATTCTCTATACTGTCAGACACCAACCATTCAGGCAATTGTATATCAACTACAATATTGGCAGAATATATATATACATATATTTTGAATATGTATGGCATTTCGTATATATCAGGACTGCCTGTCTAAGTGTTTTGCCAGCTCTGAAAAGCACCTGGATGCAGTGGTTCCATACCAACTCAAATAAGACTTAAAAGGGGATTTGAAGGGTGAGAGAGAGGTAGCTTGCCAAATGAAATGTCTTAGAAACACCAATTTAATGACTTACATATAAGTTAATCATAAACATGTGGATTAAATTTTCTAAGAAAAGGCATGTTTTAGCTCTCTGTGGACCACAAATAATTGAAAAATGATTGGAGATATTTCCTGAGCCCAAAGATAAAGAAGGAGCAGGTCTATACTTCTTTAACTACAAATATTAGTGTAATAGATAAATTATCCGGGGAGTATGGGGAAGTTAGAAATGTGGACAGGAAATAAGAAAATGAGATTCAGCCTGAAAGTATGCTCCAGGTACATCTGGGGCAAAATAATCAGAAACAGAGAGATTTTGTTTGAGGGAGAACCCAATAAAGTTATGGGTTACTAAACATTCAGGATGATTTCTAGTTGGCATGGCCCATGTGATAGAAGGCAGGTCATTCTTATTCCTGAGAATGCAAGAGGAAAGGCCCTGGACTATGGAATATAAAATGGACTTATTGCCTGCAGAATGTAAACAAAGCTTTTGTTTTTGGTTATGTCAGGATTTACCTGGTACAAGAAATGTTTGGCTAAAATTGGACTACCTTTTTTAGATAACTCACAGAAATAAATGACCAAAATCAAGACTGTAGTCTTTGAGCATAGAGTCCAGAGACAAGATGGAGTCTGAGGTGCAAAGCAAGAGAAACTGAAGCTCAACTTCAAGCCTTTCCTTTGCTAGGAAAGCATGCAATCTTTGTTTGAAGCCATAAACGCATTATGGGCCATTCACAGGAGACCTTCCTAGAAGTGTTTTATCCTTCGTTGTCATTTGAAAACACTTTTTGAAAAGATCAGACATCCAAATAGACCAAACTAAAGTACAGTCACTATAGGCAAGTTCTGACCTTGGAAACTGGGCCACGTTTTGCACTGTTATACAAGTGTATTGCAGTGAAGACCAAATGTTCTAATGCCAAGGAAATGCAAAGAGGTTTTCTCCAAGTCTGGAAAAGAGAGTTGAAGAAAACAATCTATTGCTTTCTAGGAGGCAGGATATCTTGATCTTATAAAAATCTCCAGATGCCCAATGAAGTGTGAGAAAAATAATAATGATCAATGGCAATAACAATCTTTTACATTTGTACCATGCTTTGCCATTTACACGGTGTTCCATATAAATTGTCCCATAATCTTCTCAGTAACTACCAGGCAATATTACTATCTCATTTTTACAGATGAAGAAACTGAAGCAAAGAAATGAAAAATAATTTGCTAGCTAGTGGCAGTGTCAGGGACTCAAGTCTGGTTCTTCTGACCCCTAATTTAGTATTCTTCCTGTATCTAAATAACTTCATAGCTTATTGGTATAACTCTATAGGGAAGAAGATTACTACAGCTTGTTGAAACTCTCTTTGCATAATTCAAATCACTTGTTGATTGGATTGATTGAATGGTCTAAGCACTTTACTATATTAACTCATTTACTGTTCACAACAACACTATAAGGTAGACCTTATTATTACTCTCATTTTAAAGATAGAGAAATAGGTACAGAGGGATTAAGTGACTTGCCCACTGGCTAGTAAGTGGAGGGGCTGGAATTCAAATCCAGACAATCTGGCTCTAGGACGCATTCTCTAACCACTACATTGTACTCAATTTAGAAGCTACTTTATTATAAATAACATTTTCCCTGGTGAAGGGAAAGCTATGTCGGAATGAAGTTGGCATATAATTCTGGGTGTATCTAATCCTGGGGTGTAGATTTCAATTAATTACATGTTTGTGTGCTGGGGAAAAGCCGATGTGACGTGCCTATCAGCAGATGGCACATTGTGACTCCACCTTAGACATATAACTCTATTCTCAGCCACTATTGTGACTGCTCAATCCTGAACAGAAAGGAGAACTCCAAAGTGAAAGAATAAGAGTGGTTTTTAAATACTATAATATTTAAATGATATGACCCGTAGAAGCATAACCACAGATTTCCATTTGCAGGATGGTTACTTCTTTCTTCTTAATGGGTAATGGAGAGAATGGAAATTTATCTTTTTTGATTAGGAGAAAGGGGAACAGGCTTTGGCGGCTGGTGTTGGAACATGCAGACACCTCTGCCTAATTCTCTTATTTTTCTATTCTTGCTTTGTTGAGAAGTAGTGACCAGGGGACTTGGACCCAACAGCTGACCTTCTAATTCAGCTCATCTTTTTATTTAACTCTATTAGCTTAATGGACACAAGGCAGGGAAAATTGTGAACACCTGGATAGTTAAGTCACAGCTGCCAGAAGGCCTTTCCTGACAGGCTGACTAAATTCTGCAGTAATTCCATGAGGGGTTTGAGTCAAAAGATGAGGATTCAAATGGAATAAAAAGAACCATTCCAGTCAAGGCTAAGGATAAAAATGAGTTCTTATCAAGCAGTGGTGTGCAACAGTGTGGAATGAGTGTGAAGAGATTATAGACAATTTGCAAATGCGTCTGGGAGAGGAGTCTAGTTGGTGAAGGGACTGTGAATCATATGACATGAGTGTGGGTTGAAAGTCCTGGGAATGTAGTTGAAAGAAGGGCAAACTCACAGGTGATGTGAAGGTTGTCTTCCGACTTGCGAGAGGCTGTCATGTACAAGAAAGTTTATATTTCTTCTATAAGGCATAGATTTCTTGTAAGGCACAGAACTGCCCTGCTGGGTAGAAACTAAAACGAGGAGGATTTCAACTCCTGCTAAAAGTGATGCGACAGGATTTGAAGCCCAAGTGTGACCGCAGAGCACTTCATCTTAACCACTATGTTATTTTAAAGGGGGGAGGCTTGAATTTATACTCTACAACTCAGATATTTAAGAAAACAGACTTTATTTCACTAACTGATCACTCCTGAGCCCCTAACCCTGCTTGAGAGGAACAAAACAACAACAAAAATCAACTTCCCGGTTAAAGGCACATCAATCTTTTCTTCCTGGTAATTTCGCAGACTTTTCAGAGTTTTGATCCCTTACTCCTTCATCTTTTCTTCCTCCTAGATGCCATCTGGGTACAAAGGGATGCTGACATCATGTGCTGGTAATGGGGAGGGGCTGCATGGTTCATGTGCTGTCACGTGGGATACTCACTCAATCATCCTCCCTGGTTACTTGACACTCTACCCTGGTATTCACTGAGGTGTAGTGGATGCTGCCAGGTCTTTTTGGCTTCATGCTGGCACCTGCTATTGAGCATGGGCATTACTATTGCTCCATACTAAGCTCCCCTCACTCTGGGACTTCCTTGTACTGTCACCAAGATTCTTCCAGAACACCAGTCCCCTCAGCAGTTCTCTGTGGCCTCACAGAGCACATGGGAACTTACAGATCTCCTGCCAAATGAAGGCCATGGCAGACGGGAAACACTGACTGAGGCCCTTGTTTTGCAGAATCACACCAACCCGGCGTTTCTGTGCCACTGTAGCTGCCCTATGTGAAGTCTGCCCGCGGAGTTCCATAAGAAAAGTGGAACCCATGTATGCTCTTCTTTCAGTTTCTCCTTCTTCCTGGCCTGAAAACAGGAGGATGAACACTGAGCCTCTTTTATGTGATCCAAGCAACTTCCTAAGCCTGGCCTCATTCCCTCCAAACCTTCCCTATATCATATCCTCACTGCTTTCTATGGTAAGGCCTCCAGTGAAACTGTATGTTCAGATCTTTAAGCTTTGCTATGTTAAGAAAAGCTGTAAGAATTTAGGGGCGGGGAGGAGAGTACTTAACAAAATCTGTTTTCCGAGACATTGCCTCACTAAGTTTTTTCAGGCTAATTTGAAACTCAAAGCTAAGCACTGACCCATCTTTTCTAAGTGGTTTCTGACCTTCTAAAGAAGGTTGAATGTCCTTGATTCAGTACATAAAAAGCTGAAGGGCAACAAGATTTACAGAGAATGAAAGCTAAAATTGGTTACAGAGAATGAAAATGAAATTGGTTATTTTATGTATTCTTTTGTTTCAGTGAAATATTTTATAATAAAAAAATTTAAATACATTGGTTTAAGATTGTAAAATATCATTCTCATTATACTTTACTGCCTTCTGTAGTAAAGAAAATCAAGCAGAGCACGATAGCATAAGCCTGTATTCAAAAATGCCAGGCAAGAGAAGATTCTGAAGGAGTGTTCTAACCTGGGAAAGCAGGGCAGAAGTTTTTAATAGGGCTTTAGCAGGAGGGTTAGCTGAAGTTCAGCTAGTTTCAGGAATAGTTGGATCAAGACAGTTCTCAGAAGAGAGAGGAATTGTACTTGTGAGCTCGCTGCCATTGTTGGGGCAATTTGAATTTTATTAAGAGTAGAGACGAACAGCTGTGAGAGACAAGGACATGCTAGAGCTGTAGTGGAAAATTCTCTGGCCTTAATTATCTCTTAATTTACAACATGGAAAAGTATACCAGTTGGTCTGTTCAGCATGTAAAAGGCTGTTTTCTGAGCAACTGTTCTAATGATGCGGCTATAACCCACCTTGAGTAGTCTGTCTTTTGATAACTAAATTTGCAAATTTTTTCCAAATAATGATACGGTTCAAAAAGCTTTGAACACAGTAGGCTTTCAATCAATGTCTGCTTTGCTGGGCTGAGAAGAGGCCCTGACTTTGAAGAACTCACCAAACAACAAGTGGCACAGACATAAAAACAAATTATGCTATCAGAATAAAATATGTTCAGAGTGTTGTGAAATATCACGGAAGAAAGTAGTATTTTTGCAGAGGGAATGACATTTGATTTATACCTTAAAGGATGGTGATGATAATGATGATAAAGTTAATAGAATTAATATAAGATACTGTTCATTTAGACCTATCATGTGCTAGCCACACTATGTCTATGTTATCTCAAATCCTCAAAATATCCCCCTGTGTTCATGCATTTGGGCTGCTATAACAAAAATACCATAGATTGGCTAGCTTATAAACAGCAGAAATTAATTTTTGACAGTTCTGGAGGATGGGAAGTTCAAGATCAAGGTACCAACAGATTCAGTGTCTGGTGTGGGCCTGCTTCCTGGTTCATAGGTGACTGTCTTTTCTCTGTGTCCTCATATAGAGGAAGGGATGAGGGATCTCTCTGGGGTCTCTTTTGTAAGGGCACTGATCCCATTCATGAGGGGGACACCCTCAGGACTGAATCACCTCCTAAAGGCCCCATCTCCAGATACCATCACCTTTGGGGATTAGGATTTCAACACATTAATTTTGAGGGGGGACACAAACATTCAGTCTATAGCACCCACTTTTGTTTACTTAAGAAAAAATAAAAAATGAAGCTCACAGAGTTTAAGTGACCTTTCCAAAGCCAGATTTATAAATGGTAAAACTTAGATTCGAGCCCAGAACAATCTGGCTCCAAAGTCCACCACCGTTCTCCTGCACCAGTGTTTCCCAAAATGTGAACAGGCACCAGTGATGATCAGGGAAAGGAATCTAGGTGTGCTGTAAATGAGATTAGAAGAAACATAGTATATCATTATGTAACATTGAACCCATAGTGGAGGATTATTCTCATTTCATTGTTCTGTGAAAGTCTAAGAGGAAGTTTCAATGTCCTTACACCTCTTTAATCTTGCCAATCTCTCATTTCACAGAGAGTCTCAGGCTCAAAGCATTTGGTAGCTTTCTAGCTAGAATTTAATACTGCATTTTTGGGGCCGGCCCCATGGCTTAGCGGTTAAGTGTGTGCGCTCCGCTACTGGTGGCCCGGGTTTGGATCCCGGGAGCGCACCGACACAGCACTTGTCCGGCCATGCTGAGGTGGCATCCCACATACAGCAACTAGAAGGATGTGCAACTATGACATACAACTATCTACTGGGGCTTTGGGGAGAAAAAAGGGGGAAAAAAGGAGGAGGATTAGCAATAGATGTTAGCTCAGGGCCTGTCTTCCTCAGCAAAAAGAGGAGGATTGGCATGGATGTTAGCTCAGGGCTGATCTTCCTCACACACACACACACACACAAAAGATAATACTGCATTCTTTCCTGATACTTATTTTTATGGTTACTTTCTAATTATTAACATGATGCTTTTTAAAAATTTACATAATTTGATATGAAGTTTCCAATTTATACTTAAGTTTAAAAGTAAGTATTTTTTGAAACATTGGGAAAACACCAGTGGAGATGGATGATGAATATGTGATAGTGGCCTGTGTGAGTGACATTTGGGCCACTAAGGCACTGTACCTTACTGAATAGGATTTCACTAGATAAACAGAGATGATGGGAAATAGCTGCTGGTGGTAAAGGGAAAAGAGCGCTCCAAGGAGAGGAAATGACTCATAAAATGAGAAGCATATCAAAATATGATGTATTTGGAAACAGTGAACAGGCTGGGGAGCTAAGATAGGCATGGTGGATATTGAGGCATGAAACTGGCAATGTTATTATTACACATGAATCCTTACCTCACAATTTCATAAAATAGAGATACAACTGATATTAAATAGCATTCTTGGTTTTTGTTGTCTATTGTGAACTCTCGTTTCCTTTTTTGTAAAAGGGTACCATAACCTTGATTAAAAATTAGAAAAGCTTTATATAAGTATAAGTAGGTGAAAGACAAAGATGAAGGGAATCAGAGTATGCCACCCCAAAATATGCCACTTTGGCATATGAATTATTTTGGGCTAAAGGCAATTAAGAAGCAGCAAGTACAGAAAGAACTATCTGCCTCCCCTGACTGGTCTAAAAGAAGGACATAAATTTCCTTTTGTGAAGGTCTTTCTCCTCCCCTCTCCCATACTAGGAAGAGGAAGAACAGTGATTATCACTAGAAATAGAAAGTCAGCGCTGAGATGGGTCTGCACAAACAAATTTTACTAAAATAACCCTTATCTTCTATTAGATATGCTAGTTTCCCTATATATTTCCCTCCCCACAGTTACTGCTCCTAGAAGCCCAATATCCTTTTCCTTAGTCTTGCCACTTCCCCACAAATCTGTCACCCTTTGTTAAAATGGTATACAACCTCTGAGTCTAACTGCTTCTTTGGGTCTTCACTTCTTTGTCTGTGAAGACCTCCATGCATGTAAGAATTAAAATAGTAACATCCTATAAAATTTGTGTGCCTTTTGTCCTGTTAATCTGTCTGTTGTCAGTCTAATTCACAGGCCCCAGATGCAGAATCTAAGAGAGTAGAGGAAATGTTTTTTTCTCCCATACATAGGCCTTCTAAGCAAATAGCCCTATCACAGATTTCTCAGAAGGGAATATGGGGGAAGAATGAGGCTCTTTTTAGTTTGAAAAATATGCTCCCATAGTGAAGTATGCCCATCTTCTTGAAGAAATGTATTTTTAGGAAAATTTCTGACTTTTTCCCATCTTCCACCTCCAGTTATTTCAAGTAAAATAATAGCAAGAGAAATATGTGAGAACGTATATGCAAAGTAAGTTATACTCATTTTCAACTAAATAAGTTAAATAATTTCTGAGAAAGACAAAGAAAGGAGTTTGGTGACAGTTAAACCTTCTTATGCCATAAGTGTAGCCTGAGAGACTGTTATGCTACCTGGAGCAAACCACCCTCTTTCACTTTGTTTCTCTCGCTCATCTGTGATTAGTATAGAAAAGAAGGAAGATGTTTGAGAGAGAGGAGGTAGCAAAGAGAATTGAGGCCTTCTTATGATTTAGTTCAAACACCCTAGGCAAGATGTATAGAGAAATATAGCAAAAGCCATAAATAACGATATCCCTATATGCTGTGTCACTGAGCCGGCCTTAAGGGTGAGGACAAAAAAGGAGAAGTAAAGCTTAAGGCAGAGGTATGTCTTTATCCCAGGGTGATGGCAGCTTCTGCCCTCCTCATTTAATCGTTAACAAATTGTCACTTGCCAAAAATATGCCTTTTTAATATAAAACATTCAGCATCAAATAAACATGAGGCAATCGTTCCTTTTAAAAGACACTACTTTAGAACAACTTTTAAAACAAAGAAGCACTTATGGTGTAATTTGGCACCTTTCTTACTGATGGTAACTTTCCATGTAGCAACTAACCCAAGATTCAGGGCAATCATGTGACTTAAGGCATTCTAGTCATGGCTTTGTCACACTGCCACCACCTGGTAGCAACAGACCAAACTGCAGGGGTTTTTTGAGTGATTGAGTCATTAAATTATTGGAAACCTCTAAGAGAACTTATATTCTTACAGAAAATTTAAATTTTATTTTCTGTCTTTGCTTTTCTCATTTTACTACCACAGTATTTTGTGATTTTTTTTACACTCTCCTTAGTAATACAGGAGCCTTTTACTACTCATCCCTGAGCAGGTCTGGCCTTTCAGGTAGGAAGGCAAGACACCTGTCGACATATATACTTGGGATTGCTGCTTCCTTTTACAAATGTCCACTGTTGAATGCTAGCTTCTCAGAATGTCTCCAAACCAACATGTTGATAAGACAAAACTGAGTTTGTTTTTGCTGGTAATGAAAACACTACCTAAACAGAGTCTTGGTATACTAGCAAAAAAAAACAACGTTACCTAAACAGAGTCTTGGTAGCATCTCAGAGTGGGAAGGGCAAAGTCAGAATACTTATGAAATTTTTGAAATCTGGCTTAGGGTGGGGCTTTCAGTGTGGGAGCTTGGTTAGTATTGGGTAAGGATCATGATATAATAGTTTAGTATTGGTGGACAGCCAGGTGAGGATTTTGAGGTAAGGAGTTCAAAGCTGTCTTGGGGTATAGACTGTTCTTTGCTGCTTTCTATTGAGGGATTGATGGGTCTTCTAGGAAGTTCCTGAAATGCACAATTAAATTATTTCCCACTTCTATCATACCTAGACAAGAATTTCCTGGAGTAGTAAAGTTATATTGATGAAGACAGTGGAATGGTAAAGTCAGGTTACTGTGGACAGTAAGCTGTGTAGGTCTAGATAGTTTCACTTCTTATTACCCAACCACCCAATTCCATATTTCTGCCGTTACACGGCTTAAGATTCATTCCAATGAAGGCTTTTTGGTCTTGAGGGCCGTACAATGAAAACTGCACAAATTTTGGAGTTAATATATGTTGTATAGCCTGGTGCTCAGCAAGTGTTTATTCACTTCACCCTCCCTTTCCTCTCCCTGCTTTCAAAGCCTTCTGTTAAGATGTGGAGAAATTGGAACCCTCATACATTGCTGATGGAAATGTAAAATGGTGCAACCATTTTGGAAAACAGTTTTGCAAAATATTAAACATAGAGTTACCATATGCCCCAGCGTTTCCACTCCTAGGTGTATACCCAAGAGAATTAAAAACATATGTCCACATAGAAGCTTGTACACAGAGGTTCATAGCAGTATTATTCACAATAGCTAAAAAGTGGAAACAACTTAATGTCCATCAACTGATGAATGAATGAATAGAATGTGAAATGTCCATGCAATGGGATATTATTTGGCAATAAAAGGAACAAATCATTGTACATGGATGAACATGGATGAAACTTGAAAACATTATGCTAAGTGAAAGAAGCCAGTCACAAAAGACCACATACATATGATTGCATTTATATGAAATGTCCAGAATAGGCAAATACATAGAGACAAAAAGTAGATTATTGATTGCCTGGGGCTGGTGTGGGGGGGAGCAGCGGGGGGAGAGGATGAGTGTGGGGGAATGAAGAGTGACTACTAATAGTTATGTGGTTTCCTTTTTGGGGTGATGACAACATTCTAAAATTGATTGTGGTGATGGTTGCACAAGTGTGTGAATATAGTGAAAACCATTGGATTGTACACTTTAAATACGTGAATTGTGTGGTATGTGAATTATATCTCAAGAAAGCTGTTTTTTAATAAAGGTTCCCATAAAATGTAAATACTCTTCAGTGAGAGTCATGCTATAAAAGAGTACATTAACTGACTGCTGAGAGTGAAACTTAAGAAAAGGAGTCTTGGATTGGCAAAGAATGGAGTGGAGACTAGGAAGGAACAGGGCCTGAAAGAGGAAGTGCCTGTGGGGCCGATGAACTGGCACCACCAACCTCACCTGGTTCAAACACCGCCTGGGCTGCCTGAGCAGCCGGCTGAGTCACACAGGGGCATGCCCAGTGCATCTGGTACCCAGAGGGGGATCAAAGTTTTAATATCCCCATTCCTCAGTATGGCAGTTATTTGTAGTGATGATCAGTAATAACATTATTTTCTTAATTCGTTTTTTAGTATTAAAACAGATGACAGTTTAAAAGAGTGAATACATTTCCATTTTGAAGATATTTCTATTTAAAGAGATTGTTCAAATTCAGTAAAAGATTTTAGTAGAAACTAAAATGTGCATTTGTCAAACAGGAATAGTACACCCCACAGCTTGTTCTCTGTTTTACGGTTTAAATTTTAAACACAAAACCTCCAAGTGGTCACATAAAATGACAGAATTGAAATAACTCTAGTTCTGTTTTTTCATCTTTAAGATCACTGTGCAATCCTTGTTTATTTAGAAGCTCCAGTTTAAATACAGGAATATGCAGTACCACAGGGGTTGGAGATTTGAAGCACTGGCCAGAAGAGAGCTCGCACAATTCGAAACAGCTCACACTGGAACAAACTTATTCTCAAGAGGAACATGTGTCGCCAACTCCGCATGTGTAGGGACCCACTGAATAACTGAGAGTTCTCAGAATTAACTTTCCTGTAGAATACAATGTTTACTAACAGATAAATTATTAAGATGTACTAATTTGAAGCTTACATATATATTATTAAAACTCAACAGTAACCACTGCAGTTGTTTCGAAGTTAGACCGACAAAAGACTTTTTCAGGGAGGAGTATTTTATCACTGGCAATGTTTACAATTGTTGGCATATGGTGATAATAAAAACCAGACTCACTTTTAGTCAGTTTTATTGTTGTTTTTTAAATCTCTACACATAATGCACCTTCCTTGATGCCTGTACCCAGGGCAGACTGCCCCAACCCCACTACACATGGAACACCACCGATGTTAAGCTGCATAAATCTGTGTCGATTGAACTGTATCCAAGTAAATGATTGCTTATATATTCTAAAAACTGTAGTTAATGTGAATAAAATATGTTAACCTAAGAGTAAAAAAATTGTATCATTTCAATCTAGATTTGCTGTAAGTCTGTTATATAATCCTAACACTGAAATTAAAAGGTTAATTTTTATTAAACCTCCGAGCTCATGGACACTCTAAAAGCCCACACTAAGTTGTAATAAGTTAAAATGGATTTCTCCAGGTAAAAATTGATTTTGTTCATTAAGAAGAAAAGACTGACTTTTACAAACTACTTATAGCCAAATGTTGAGCTCTGGGGGCACCCAACACACATTTTGTTTAAATGTTGAAAATCTTTTTAATATAAAAAATAGATCGAACATTAAAAGAGGAATAATAATAAGCAAATAATCATAGCAATACTATATAAAAGCATTTGAAACTACAACTTGTAATGGTATATTGTCTGGGTTTACCTCTTTTTCAACAGAAAGGTGATATGAAATCTAAGAGAAATATACATATAAGGAAAACAAGACCAATTGACCCTATAGCCTAAATCATTAAGAATTCTAGAGACTTCTCATATAATTTACTCATATATTAGAGATCTAAAGTATGTTTGGAGAACTAAAATAGCCATCAGCCTATCCATCCATTCTCTTTCCTTCCTTCTTGCCTGCCTTTCTGCCCTCTTCTCATTTTTTTCATTCTTCATTTATTTCCTCTTATATTTCAGGCATTGTGGTAAGTACTGAATTACAAAGATGAATGTTATCTGTCCTCAAAAATCTCTGTCTGGTGGCAAAGACAGACACATAAACAGCTTATTATAATTCAGTGTGGTTAGTGCTGCAATGTAAGATTGTACAGAGAGCTGCAGGAGCATCAAGGAAGGGGTAATTAGCTGTGTATGGGCACAGAGAAACTCTATACAGGAAGTGACATCAAACTGAGTTGTAAGGGCTTCAAGAGTTCTCCAGGTGGTGATGTATATGTGTGGGGTGGAGGTGGTGGTGGAGCAGAGGGAAGACATTCTACAGTCAGAATCCAAGACTTGGTTTACTTTTTTCTTCTCTTGTTCCTCAATTTTAAATTGAGGTAATTTAAAAATTCATTCATTCTCAAGGTTTTACTGAGCACCTCATATGTACAACATTCAGTTAATGGGAAATTCCAGGATTATTGACAGCTTACAAATCATGAATTGATTTTGTAGAATAGGTTATCAAGCTCATTAAAATAAGATCGTCACAAATTTGAGTTCTTATCCTAAAATCTCCTTTTCTTTCTGCTTAGCTCTACACAAGAGTGAGTTTTGTACAAGCAGTACTTTATAATTTTTCCCCATCTCCATCTTTCAGGTTTAAGGGATCCTATTAATTCTAATAGTCCATTCCTTGGTATACAAAACCTGCTTACCCCTCGTTGATTCCCTTGAGAGCAGGGTTAGGAAAGTCAATAGGCCCCCCTGGCATTTTCTGTCCTCAGAAAGCTGTTTCAGGGTGAGCAGCCTGCTCAGCCTCATTGGAAGAAGCACCATCAGGCCCATCCAAGGACTACCTTCTCTAGCCCCTGAAGTTCCCAACCACAGCAAAATCAGACAGTTGAGAAAGGAGAGCTGCTTCTCAGAAATAGAGCTGCTCCCACATGGACTTAGATCAATGAAAATTCACTCAATCAAAAACCTGGAAGTATGCTTGTGCCTTATTGTTTTCCAAACTACCACAGCAATATCTCCCATCCCACATAGTCTTCCTACACTGTGACCTTGACATTCCTCCCCTTGAGTAGAGGGCTCTGTGTTCCCTCTCCTTGGATCTGGACCACCACTGTGCCATCTGGACTGGCTCCACTAATAAAGTACACTGGAAGATACACTATGTGACTTCCCAGACTAGATCATTAAAATAGTGGGCACTCTGCCAGATTCTCTCAGGACACTTACTCTTATATCCCAGCCTCCATGCTGTGAGGAAGCCCAAACTAGCCTACACGGAGAGACCACATGGAGAAGCCACATGTAGGTGTTCCAGCCAAGAGCCCACCTGAGATCCCAGCCAACCTCAGCCACCAGATAAGTAAAATGCCTCCAGATGATTCTAGTCCCCAGCCTTTGAGTCCCTGTAATTATTTTATTAATATTTTATTTTTTAAATTAACCTGATACTATTAACCTATAAATCCATATGACCTAGTATGCTAAACTAGACTAGCATGTAGATCTACCATGACAAATATTTTACATCTAGGTTTTTGTTGGGTTAATTTAAGTAGGACACACTGTAATGGGAAATGTCACAAATTCTTTTCTTTATGCCTTCCCTGTTCACATCTGAGAAAAGGAAAAATAAATAAATAAATAAAAACTAGTCTAGCTATTCCGCCCCCTCTCGAGATTATAGTGCTTTCATCATGGCTGGGAGTCTGAGAGCTGCAAATGGAATCTAACATGAATGATTTAAGGTAACCCTATCAGCCCAGGGTTTGAATTGGACACTCTTCTCTCCTCCCACTTCCTGACTCTACTCAGCAAGATATGTTGTCCCATTATCCACCTGGCTTCAACATAACCACACAGTCTTCTGTCATTCTATTTTTTTTTTCCTGTTGGTCAGCCTAGGAAATTGGCCCAATATATAGAAATTTCCGGAGCTTAGAAGAGAGAGAAAAGTTGGCATTTCTGTAGTTCTGGGAGTAATAACAACCTACCTCATGTGTCTATCCTTTATAGTTTCAAATGCTTTGTACTGCTGATGAGGATGCAAAGAGACTGGATCTTCACACATTGCTGTGAAATGGTACAGCCACTCTGGAAAAAAAGGTTGGCAGTTTCTTAAAAACTAAATACACACTTGCCATACCACCCAGCAGTCATACTCCTAGGCATTTATCCCAGAGAAATGAAAACTTAGGTTTACATAAAAACATATACACTGTTGTTCATAGCAGCTTTATTAGTAATTATTAACGACCTGTCAACAACAAAAATGTCTCTCAATAGGTGAATGGTTAAAATGTGGTGCATCTGTACCATGGAACACTACTCAGCAATAAAAACATACAACAACAAATTGGATGGATTTCAAGGGCGGTATGCTGGGTGAACAAAGCCACTATCAAAAGGTCAAATAATGTATGATTCCATTTATATAACATTCTTGAAATAACAGAATTATAGAGATGGAGAACAGATTCATGTTGCCAGGGGTTCAAGGTGGTGGGGGAGTTGTGGGGTGGGTATGACTACAAAGGGGTAGCCCGAAGGAGATCTTTGTGGTGGAACAGTTCTGTATGTTGATTGTGGTGGTGGTTACGCAAATGTATACATGGGATAAAATGGCATAAAACTCTACACACATTATACCTATGTGACATTCCTTGTTTTGATATTGTACTATAGTCACATTAAGATGTAACCATTAGGGGAAACTGGGTGAAGGGTACACGAGACCACTCTGTACTATCTTGCAACTTTCTAAGAATCTCTAATAATTTCAAAATTAAATTTTTTAAAATGTATTTTTCTCACTCACTTAAAAATCCTTTCAGACATGTGAGCATTTGATATTTATCCCCATTTTACAAGTGAAGAAACTGAATTTCTGAAAGGTTTTGCCTTGCCTAAAGCCACATGGCTAAGACAGTTCTGGAACTGGGTCTTCTAACTCCAATTCCAGTGCTCTTTCATGCAGGTTTTGGTAGAACCACCTTAGTTCTAAGGGTCAGAAGCTTAAAGCTTCTGTTCTAGTTACACTAATGTTTCATTAGGTTAGTTTCACATGGTTTATTCAATTGATTTTTTTAACCATCTGAATTTACTAAACAGTGTATCATTTTATGGAATAAGCTTTGTACCTCTGTAAAATTAATTCCTTATTTATATGAGTAGAAATGTTGTAGAACCAAAATAACATGAAGTATGTATTTGAGTACTAAGGTTGAACTCAAGATCTTTTAAAAAGCCATATAGTAAATATATTTAGAGCTTTAGGGATTAAAAAATTGAAAGTCTCAAAATATTTTTGGGTTTCCTTCTGCAAAATGGCTGGTCAAGGTATGTTTGCCTCTCATTTTGTAGCCTCAGTATTTATACAACTGAAAGAGAATACAAAGGTTGCTAATCCAAAATGCGTATAACTCCTTTTGACTTTTTCCAATTTCATTTTCTTTAGAGCCAGATATTAAAGATATTTAAGAAAAATCTTAGACTAGAATCCTTATATAGTTTTATGATATTTTCTCCAGTTCTTGTCCACATCTAAGTTAACAGCAATTTTCTTTTCAGAGGGCTCTCCTGTATCAAGTCTTTCCAAAACATTCAACATAGTTTTCATGGAAATAACAACTCTCTTCATATTTCTTTAGTTTTCATCATAAATTATATATGTATATGAAAATCAACCACCATTGAAATAAATAGATTTGGAGAAAAAAACACAACTCTTCTTGATAGGTATTCAACTTAGCTGATGGAAGTAAGAATGTGGGCAAACCTGTGAGTGGCGGAATAGCCATGAGTATGCAGTAAGTCATGAGCACTAGTCATTGTGTTTCTCAGAGGGACTGGAAAGTGTCCATTAATCCAGTAAGCTGGTTGATGGAAGTCAGCTAAAAGAGCCTCTAGTGTGTTATATTCAAAAATCAGAACAGCAGAGTATATTATATATATAATATATAATATGTATAAAGGGGAACAATTAAAAAACAAAGACCTCTTGGAAATTAAAAATATGATTTCCAAAAATAATAATAATAATATTAATAATAGAAAATGAAGTAGAGAATAATAACCAAAAATGGAACAGAAAGAAAAACAAAGAAACAGAAAATAGGAGGTAAGATTTCTGAAATAGGACTAGAAGGCCCCCCCCCGATTTCACTAGTAGGATTCCAGAAAGAGAGAACTAAGCAAATGGAGGAGAAGAAGTGATCAAGGAAATAATACAATAAAATATCCCAGAATTGAATATATCCCAGAGCTGAAAGGGAGTAAAAACCTTGACATTTAAGGGCCTAGCAAATGCTGAGCAGAATGAAGAAAAATAACCTGTATCTATACACATTGTTATACAGTTTCAAAAAACCAAGGATAAGTAGAAGATACTAAAAGCTTCCAGAGAGAAAAGGGAACAAGGCTTAGACTGGCATCAAATTTCTCATCAATAACATGGGAGGCTAAGACACAGTGGAGCAATGCTTTCAAAGTTCTAAGAAAAGTTAGTTTTTGACTCAGAAATCTATAACTCATGTAACTGGCAATCAGATGTGAGGGCAAAATACAGAAATTTTCAGACATGAAAGTCCAAAAAGCAGCAGCTGGATAGCACATCTACAGAGCAGACAGTCCAGATTGGAGCAGGAAGATGGAGGACTCCAGGAGGAAGGTTGCTGGGGCGAAAAAGGCAATTGGATGAAACAGCCAGTGTGTTAGAGATTTTAGGAAAAAACTGAGAACATGATAAAGGCATAGAGTTCAAGAATAACAGACAAGCCTTTTAGAAACTCTGAGGTGAAGGGGAAGAGTGAGGAGAAGGGGAGAGAACTAAAGAAAAAAAGTCAAGATTCAAATATGAGCAAACTGAAAGTTGGTATGACTTTCAGTGGTGGTTTTCAGTATTTAGAATACACCGTCAGACAAATAATGGAAAATAACCAGGGTTATAGAATAGACCATAAATATTATCAGCCTTGGAAAAATGTAAAAGTAAAGGCACAGCTGACAGAAGTTGGGAGGTGGAAGGTGA